CTGTTCTTACTAGATTAGCCATTAATTAATAGCCGTTAATTAATTATAACTATTATAATTAGTAGTAATTAATAGTACTTTTTCATTTTTTTATTATTGGTGAAAATAGAGGTAGAACGATCTGCACAGTATTAAACAGAGTTTTGGCCAATGTTTTAAAAAAAAAAAAAAATTAATTATCATTCATCAACCTCATTCCTTGTTCGACAAACCTAAATGGCCGACAGGTGAGACTCATTACAATTGCGAATGATTGACGAACAATTTAACGATCGTGAGCAATTGAATGGTAATGAAACCATCATTCTAAGTGACTACAATGAACCATAAAATCGACCACATTCCGGATAAAAATAAAACTGTGTAAACAATTTTATGGTTCGCCGGATGTATTTGAATTTTATTTTTCATATCGTTACATTATATTCTTTAAAAAGTACATGCACCATTTATATTAGTCATGCAGGTATTGTCTTCAGGAAGAAATCTCGATAAGTTTTCAAACTCGTCGTGTTACAAATCAATCGTCGTATATGCGTTAATATTCAGATATTGCTAAATATTTGATAGTTCATTCGCCAGCAATTAAAGCACTTTGTTATGCTAACTGCAAGTTCTTCTGTTACTAGGCAATACCAATAGAAAAGCAGTAGATTCGTGTCGACATTAGTACTCATATCATAACATAACATGTACACAATATGCACTCGTTCGACTGTTCGCCAATAGAATGGTTGCCGCCGATTTGATGATCCATTCAGAAATTGGAAAAAATTACGAACACGTCGACCCCATGTAGATTGCGAATATGCAAACTATCTAAATATGTAAAATACTTTGGCTAAGTACAAAGGCATAACACTTTCCCAACAGAATGCGCGTACAGTAGCTTCAAGAAATATTCACACGCCATTATATCTATTACAGCATTTGCATAATGTAATTAATCGAATATAGCATCGTTTAGTAACAATTTTATACTTATAAAAGAATATTGGCAGATTCTACATACGAAATTTAATTCCAAGCAAACTGTTAGTAATTTACCAATTTTTATTATTTATATTACATATATATACACATGTAAGATGGCACGTGTATATACGCCAATAATTTTCATAGTCATCGCGTTTGATACATGTTTCATTTAGTGACATTGATACATGTGCCATTTAGTAGTTTCGTAATACTGGGTGCTCAAACAACTTTCTGTCACTACTATACGCATTCACAGGCGGCGTATGTACTTTTTTTTTTTTTTCTTTCTTTCTTTCACGTGCTCAATTCGAATAGAAGTCCCTCAAACAACCGTGACTATACATACGAGCGCGGCGAGTGGCCGAGCACGTATCGTATAACCTGAAGAGATGGCCTGGATGCCTTTTTTCGTCGTGTACCGTTACCGTAGAATAACTTCGGGTTCTGCGATCACATGCCGCTTATTTTACTTTGTCCCCATCGTTCACCCGTTCGATTGTATGTTACGACCTGTGTGCTCTATTAGCTTGAAGGTTTAACGAGAATAAGAAGCGAACGAGTTTCTCCCGCGGAAACGTTCGGCTCACACAGTTCAGTCCGGCTCAGTTCTTGTTGCTCGCTCTGCGCGGTCAGTCGAAACAATCTCATCGATAAATTGAAAGGAATTAGTCGCCAAAATTAGCAGGGAAAGAAAAGAGAGGAAAAGTCAGCGATTGGTAAAGCAGTCACTGATACCCGCCGGAAGTGATTAACGCATCGGAAGTGCAAGATGAGGATCGCGCTCACTTTAGGTGTAGTCCTCATTGTTTGTATCAGCGTAAGTACCGATCGAAAGCCCCGATTAAAATTTGAAATGAATTTGAACGCGCGAGTACGCTTAATTCGAATCGCTTGGATGGATGGATAGTTTAATTACGACACATTCCCGTTGTTTGTTAACGCATTAAGGACCAACGTTGCGTCAAATCGATTTACATTGTGGTTCTCTTTAATGTCGTGGAAATTTACTTCCGACGTACTCTTGATGTAAATACAACATGAATATTCTTCTTTCATGAAATACAATGAAGCTTCCAAGAAATAGCGAAATTGTACGATAGAAAGATTCAGTTAATCGATTTACGTGTACTGTAGACGTACAATTTTAATACCAAATTTTCAGGAAAAAGTGAAACTTGCAATTTTGTTTGTTCCTCCTGTGAATTCGTAGTCGCGGTTAGATGCAAAGTTATACGCGCGAAATATAATAATATAATAATTTTCGTAACGTTCGACAGATACGATGCGTCGAGAGCAAAGTAAAGAAGACGCAACTGTCGTTGCAAAGCAAAGAGACAAATGTAGTGAACTTCATGAGATTGCTGGTGATGAGGCTCGTGTTTGGAGTTGCATCGGCGATGGGTCTCGGCGAAAATCTTTCTGGCGTGCTTGGAGGAATTTTCGTACCCCCTGGAGCAGAAGATTACAGTGATTATGCCGACGATGATTTCATGTCGGATTTGTTTTAATAACAGTGCACGCTAAAGCACCGTTCGAACTTGCAATTATAAATAATCAACGAGTGTGAATTGAATTCGAGCTTAGTATAACTTTGCTTGATTTTGTTTCATCCTAAAATTGATACGATATACGGAAATAAATATTCTTTTATTCGAATTTAAGCGGGTTAAAAATATTCAAAAATCTGACGCATGCGCATCAGCACACTTGCGTTAGCGTGTGCGCGTCAATATACGCACGTCAGTCAGTCGTGCGTGTCAACGCATGAGCGTTGGACGTGAACAGATATATTTACATTGATAAATTCGCTTAAAAAATATTCTTCTTAATATTTTTGCTTGTTAAATTTTGTAACAGCTTACAAAAATTAATAATTATTGTATTCTCGTTTGTAAATAATATTATGCTATTTATATTTATTATTTATTTAAGAGCATAATTATGAGAAACATGAAACCTTGTTGCGTCAAAGAGCATCTTGTGTTGAAAATTTAAATTGCTCTTTGTACGTATGAAGGTTTCGGTAAAACCTTTTAGATTGCTACTTTTATTTATCTAATTTTGCAATATTAGAAAATTAAATACCTAATAATTGTTTCATTTAAAAATACATGTATACATAATTATGTTTTTAAATGATGATGTATAGATAAAAACATATATATGCATAAAATACGTATTCTTTATAAGACCTAAAATAAAGTAGGCTACAAATATTTATTTACGTTATGTATTTATTAAAAAATATCATTTTAAATATACGTACATATACCTTTATACCAAATTATTTTTCGAAAATATAAAATTAAATAAATCGGTGAAATAAATTAAATATTTTACAACAGTACAATTGATTTACTTATTTATTTTATATATTTAGAATTTTGAAATTTTTATTCATGATAAATCAATAAATATTTCTGTCATAAATAATAGAAACGACATTTGTCTACGTATATTAAAATTAATATAGAATAGTAATATTATATGTAATATAAATGTATTACATTTATGTTATATAAACAATATAATGTATTATTCGATATAACACAGATAATAAAAATATACTAGGCATCTTAGTAATTAAAAAGTGAAAAATGGTTAACCTAAAATTTTGATTCGATATTCTATTCGAACAAGATGATAATATTTTAAAATGAAGTGGCAAAAAATATTAGAAATTTTTACACATCAATTAAAACCTGTTGTAAAGGAAAAAATAAAACGCGAAGATGAGCTTATGTCTTATTTATGGAATGATCAAAATATAAAGTAAGTGACAAAAATTGACATAAAAATATCATGGTTTTAAATGATATTTCTTAAACTTTTACTTTGTTTCATGCTTAGAAAACTTGTGTGTTTATGGTTGGACAATCACTATGACAGAAGAGAATGTAAATCCATTGATAAAGCACAAGCTTTTAAGAAAATGGGTAACAAAGAATTTCAGGCAAAAAATTATAATAAAAGCATAGAATTATACACAAAATGTGCATTATATGCATCAATAAATAGCTGTGAATTGCCAATTGCAATAGCAAATAGATCTGCTTCGTTATTTTATTTAGATAGATATGATGTAAGTAAAAAGTGTAACATAAAATACGTAAACATGCAATACATGTTCTAATATTTTTGTTTGTATTTCATGATGAAAAGGATTGTATAAAAGATATTCAACTCGCAATTAAATTAAATTATCCTAAACAATTACAATATAAATTATATTTAAGATTACTGCAATGTTATGTGAAATTAGGCAAACAACAGTTAGCTGAAGAAACACTTTCCATGGTACAAAAAATAATTCATGATTCTGATTATATTGCACCTTCTATGAAAGGTGAGCAATAATTATACTTACAAATTTACAAATGATATTTTTTTATAATAAAATCACTAACTTTCAGATAATATTGAAAAAAAAATAAATAATATAACATTTACTGACTCATTTGAGAAAAATACCATACAAAATACTACACAGAATACTGATGATTTAACAAGATTAAAATCTAAAATTATATTTGAAGAAAATGTTAATTTCCCTGATGCATCTATAAGTATAGATAGAATATATAATGAAGAATTAGGGAGACATGTAGTAGCAAATAAATCTATTAAAAAAGGTGATATTCTATTTATGGAAAAATCTATAGGTTTTGTGTTGCTAAATCATGACACACATAATCTTTGTTCACACTGTATTTGCTCAAACACAGATATTCCTGTTCCGTAAGTTGTGTATTTATTTTCATATAATATTTTCTCTATGGCATGAAAGGTTTATAATATGTTACTTCAGATGTACAACATGTGTCAATAATTTTTATTGTAATGACTATTGTTTAACCGAAGCATGGTCTTCTTATCATTGTTGGGAATGTCCAGGAAGTCAAATGGAACTTTGGAAAGAAATTGGAATAGGACATTTAGCCTTAAAAGTTTTATTAACTTGTACAACTACTACAGACAAAGTTAAATTTAATGAAATGCAAAATTTAGTTACTAATTTTGATAAATTATCTATGGATGATTTAAAAGTATATGGAATTGTATGTATATTTCAAGATAAAATGTACAATGTCACATATACAAAATTAAAATTGTTTATATTATTATAACTTTTACAGACAGCTATTATGCTCACTATATATTTATCTAAATATACAGACTTTTTCGAAACAAATGATCTTGAAGATTGTTTAATGAACAAATTTTCGGATAATTTGTTCAACACGAATTTTAATATTTTAACAAGTAAAGACAAACAACTTTATGTAAGTTCTTTACTTTTACGATACATTCTTCAACTTATTGGTAATGGACATGCGATTACAAAATCAAATACACTATTAAGTAATGACTCTTCCATGAACGAACAAGATATTGTAGCTACAGGAGTTTATCCTTCTGCAAGTATGATGAACCATTCTTGCGATCCCAATATAATTAACATGTAATCTTAAAACTTTTATAATATATGTACATTTATATGTTTCAATATCTAATACAATTTTGTTTTTAATTTTAGATTTATGAATCAATATCTCATTGTCAGAGCTTCAAGAGATATTACCAAAAATGAGGAAATTTCCAACTGCTATGGTACACTATAATTTGTTTAAAAATGTACTTGTTCTAATTACTAAATGGCACTAATATAATAAAATTATTTCTAGGACCACATTATAGATATATGACAACAGAAGAAAGACAAAAGATTTTAAAAAGTCAATATTGTTTTACCTGTAAATGTACAGCATGTACTCTACCTAGGTTACAATATTTTATGGTAAATATAAAATTATGATATATTTAAATATTAATATATATCATGTTACATTATTGTTGAATAGTAAGATTATAATTATAGGAAAGATTTAATGCTATTAAATGTATGAAGTGTAATGGTGCAGCATATAATACAATAGATTCTATACATTGTTTGGATTGCGGTAACAAAATGCAAAATTATTCCCAAAATGAAATAATAGAAGCTAAAGAATTCTTCAAAGCAGCTCAAGTTTCTATTAATTTAAAAAAAACAGATGAGGCCTTAGATAAATTAAAAAAATGTTTACGTATTAGAAGAACAGTATTATATAAATATAATGAAGATATTACAAATACATTAAATCTTATGGGAGAAATGTATAAAATAATGGGTTTGTTTAGATACATCATATACATAAGATATGTATATAGATAGGATAGATACGGATTGTATAATAGAATAATAATGATCATAAAATTAATTCTTAGGGCGATGGATAGATAGTATAACATGTTTGGAAGACACACTTGCAGCAATCAAAGAAAGATTTGGTTCCTATAGTATAGAATTTCTTAATCAGTTGAATGATCTTACAGATGTGTGTCTTATATATCTAGAAAAGGAATTAAATATTAATATAAGCATTTACAAGTAAATATCTTTGTAATTTGCCATAGATTAGTATTTCAGAATTATAATATTTGTGGTAATGTTTGTAATTTTTATTATAGAAAAATATTGAAGAAGACTCAAAACTACTTAAATCAACTAGAAGAAATTGCAAGTTTTAATTATGGATCTTGGAATAAAGTTTACAAAGATATAAGACAAAAACAAAAGAAGATTAATTGTATAGTACATAAAATTTAAATGAACAAATAAACATATTTTATGAAGATATGCATACTTATTATTTATTTATTATTTCCTAATTTATTTACTTAATTAAACGTAATTGTATACAGAAAAATCTATCTTATCTAATGCACATATTTTAATAAAACATTTCAGGAGGCGTTCCAGAAGATAATTTATATTTTTATGAACCATTCATAGTACAGCAAAAAGATAAAAATAAAATGTAACTTTAAGCGTAGAATAACAAGCAAAGTGAATTGTAAGATCTATAAAAAAATTTTATTTTGAACTAATATTCTTTCTTCCCTAATTCGTCTTTACTATTTATTCTGCTGTAAGTAATAAAAGAACGAAGTTTCATTGAAATATTTTATTTTTTCTTGTATGTTTATATTAAGAATTTAAAGGTTATATAGCATTGATTTGAGTCAATGATACATATACCTAAGACACGAGTGAATGAGTGTATCTTTATTCTTGAATCAGATTGATTTCAAGAATATGAACAAAGATCACGACGAACAAAAAGAGTAGGGGAAAAATAAACAAGAAAAATGACTGATTACATAGAGGAATATCTTGCAAACAGTTTGCTACACAGTCACATAATAGAAGAGACCAGTAATAAAATATGAATTGTTTGGTTAATTCATGTGCTTTGACGTTGTTGTATTTTTCATATTTTTCATTCATCTATTGTAGATATCTCGTTTTTCTCACCTGTTACCGAAGATGGTGTGCCAATTAGAAAATTATTTATCAGCAACTTAGCAGACAGGGTTTGTATACATATGTATATACATTTAATACTATATAATATTTTCTTTGAACATGTAAATCTAACAGTAAAATGTTCTTTCTCAGACAACATTTAAAGATCTTATAAGATTATTTTCTAAGTATGGAGACGTTGAAAATTGTTATGTAAAAAAGACTCAAAAAAATAGTAACTATGCATTTGTAACGTTTAAGAGCGTAGATGCAGCTGTGAGGTAAATGTTAATTTAAATAAATATGAAGATGTAACTATAGATAAGAAAACTATTTTTATTTTGACATTTTGACATTATACGATGAATTATAGAGCCAGATACGAAGAAATAAGATTGCACAATAGAGATTTAAAAATCTTGGCAGCTGATTCTTGGCATCAACCGGATAACATGGAGAATCAGTATCACAACCCTAATTTACAAATAAATGAATTAAACTCTAATGAAGTATCAGATGATGTTGTATGTAATCTGGATTATGAACAAGATGACATTGGCATTCAAACATTAAATGATGACTGTCTGATACACATCTTTCTTCAATTACCAATTATAGATAGGATCAGAATAGAAAGAGGTAAGCACATACATTCTTTTTTACATTATTAATATTGTTTTAAAATATATAAATTTAATATATAAGTGGACACAGAATCTTTTCAATAATTGTAGTATGCAAGAGATGGAGAGCATTAAGTCAAAAGTCCTGGTGTAGTGTGAAAAGACTGGATTTATCGTATTCTATATGGGGCTCTGTATCTGACATAAACAGAAAAGAAATTAGTACATGTACCATTCGTAAAGTATTACTACGATGTGGTTCATACTTAAATGAAATACATCTATCCCTAGTACCGTCTCATTTACGTCAAAGTACAGTAACTATCGTCGCAAAATTTTGCCCTAATTTACAAATAATAGATATCACTGGTCTTACCATTTCCGCGTCTGGTATTGATTCACTGATCAATAATTGCCATGGTATTACAAAATTTAGTCTTGGCCCTACCACTTATGTTTGTGATATAGATCTACAAAAATTATTCAAAGTGAATCCAAAGTTACGATATTTTAAATTCTCTAGCACTAAAATATGCGGACGATGCTTATTGCATTTACCATTAGAAACAATAGAAGAAATCGTTTTAGAATCTTGTACCTATCTTCAGGAGCAGCCTTTGTCGCAGGTGAAACTCTGAGTTTATTTTAACCGCCTTGCAAACAGCTTGATCCTAAGTATTAATTAATATTTTTCAGGCGATTGCGTATCTACGAAACTTAAGAGCACTTACGATAAATAAATGTGTTTATATATCCGGTGACGTTATTCGAGCCATTGGCACATATTGTACAAATTTAAAAACGTTAGAAGTTTCTAGTATTTTATTTTCATTACAATCGAATGACATGTTACATATTACGCAATTAACCAATCTCGAAGTTCTGAAAATCAGTACGAATACTGTAGTTACGGACGAACTTCTTTCTATTTTGGCATCGAAATGCCTGCTTCTCACATATCTAGATATTTCCGGTAAGTCGGATATCATACGGGAGTAATTCACATATATAATTTGCTTAATTTCTGTTGCAGAATGTTTTCTTGTTACAAACGCTGGCATAGCCGCTATAGCAACTCTTCCCAAGTTAGAAGTGTTAATAATGAACTACTTGCGAGTGACAAACATAAATTTACGGGACGCATCCAATTTAAGAAGGCTAGAGTGTCGCGTTTGCAAATTTACGGACAGAATGATGATCGATCTTATCGAATCCGCGCCACAATTGAGGCTACTAGATTTATCCGGATGCTCAAATATTACTAATAAAACATTAGAGAAAGCTGCCACGCTTACGGTCAGTCGAACCAACAATACTATTTTAAAAGTATTCGTCGGTAAAACCTCAGTAGATCTTAGTACTTTTAACAAAGTATCACCGTTTTTACAAATAGTCAATGTAGATTTATCTAGTTGTAATCGCACTATAATATTTCCACTTGTACTGTAATATTTGTAAACATTAATCGTGTAAGATTTTCTTTATACATTGTGATTTTATACATATACGAAATGCGTTGACAAAACAGTTGAAAGTATTGAGGAAAATGAGAATAATCTTGACTCAGCCATGTTTATTTGCAATAACTTTAGAGACGTAAATCTGATAGTACTTACGTCGGTAGACGAACTTTGTAAATCATTTTGTAGAAAATTCACGAAACGAAAACAGGAAAGGATGATAGATAGTAGTGCAATCATATTTTCTATAAACGAAGCACATTATTACTACTTTATACCATGGTAATCAGTGTCACCGTTAAAACAGTAATTAAATTTTGACAGACTACGAAATCAGAGGTAAAGCAGGAATATAAAGTTCTGTCTAAATCAAAATACTGTACGCTCAAATTAGTGTTAATGAAAGCGAATGTTTTAATACTTTGTATTGTACGAGATAAATTTATATTTTCATAAACATATGTAGATATACTTCATTAACGTCCGGATCTCAACACACGAGGAGTATGCTTCCAATGTAGGATAAATTTATTCTTTGAATAATTACATTTAGACAGTGAATCGATATAGCGGCAATTATTATCCACAAATTTGCAACAAGGAATATCCATATATTTTGAATAAGTGCCAGAAGTAATTATCTCTTTGACAATTGAAATTCACTGTTCAGTGAATAGAATCCTTTTTTTTTTTTATGGCTGTATATTATTAGTATCTTACATAATTTTCTTAACAGGACTTTTATCGGAAAAATGTGTTATTCTGTTTATAGTAAACAGGATTATGCACATTGTTATAGGAGATACAAACATAATAAGAAAGATCAGTTCTTGGGCGTCTTACGCTTAGGCACATAAGTGGATATTCCCACTGTGCTTGCAAACATCACAATACGCTCGTAGTACGATCCGATATTTTTTTAAGCCAAATCGGAAAAAGGCTACATCTACGCGGTCACGTATATAAAAAAGTAATGGCTAGGCAAACATAAATAACTGAAGGGATAGATATATTATAGCTAGGACTTTCATCCACGTATAACGGATCGTTTCTTATTATCTTTTCTTTTTTGTTTTTTTTTTTTTTTTAAATTAATAATTTCAATGCGACACTTTCGATAGGAAACAAAATATTGTAACGCGCAACATTTACATACAATAAAGAACAAGGATGCTTATACTGCCATTACACTATGTACATATAGACATTTTTTATCAGCACATTACAATGGTAAGCGACTATGTCTATTATTAAACACCTGTCTATTACGAACCAAATGTTGTTCGACTAAGAGAAATAACTAATGAATCGTAGCAACAGAAAAGAATCGTTGATTTCTAAGTTTGTGGTATTTTGAACGCTTCTGTTTGAATAAAAGATTGAAGAAATTTCAAAATTTCTTTAAACTGTTTCTCCTTAATCATAGATACAATAAAAATTATTAACATCTTTTAATTACATGTAATTATTGAAATATGTGTAAATACGGAGGTGGCCAAAAGAATGGCTTTTGAATCTTTCAAACACAGTTTGTAAAAATTGCACAAGAAAGACTTGATTCACAGCTATACAGTACATACAATCGTATATATTCATTATCATGTGAACACATGGACGCGCACCAAAATTATGTTGTCAATTTCATCTATGAAGTGTAACATCTCAGACCGCGAAATATATATATATATATATATATGTGTATGTGTATGTGTATGTGTGTATATTTATATTTATTATATTTATGGAAAAATACGGTAAACGATTTTTAAAAATATATGAGTTTAACATATACTGTTATGAAAAGAGATAAAATATAATTTAAAAAGATATTTGTTTATCGTTTTTTTTAAATGTTCTTCTTTATGACTTGAAAGTGTCACATCGATTGACGTTTAATAAAATAGTATTTCATAATTATTGTAGCCATGTTATACAATATTTATATTAAATATTATTCTTGGTGAGATATACCTTTTATACAATAATATATCTTTTATATACTAGTTTTATATACTAGTTTATCATTATTACTAACTGCAAGAGATCTAGAATTCTTCGAAATAATAGAAATATAAAAGGTTGTATATTACCTTATTGAAATACTATTTTATTTAACTACAATATTTGAAATCTTGTTCAATCGCGGGCTGATATTTCATAAAAAATATTACAGTATTCTCACAATGATAGAACGAAAGTCTTTTCCTTTTCGATGGTGTGAATAATGCTCTACGAATGTCAGGTACAAATGTCTAGTTAACACTTCTTCAAATTATGTCTTCATAAATCCGATGCCCATATGTATCCTAATATCATAGGAAACACAACTTGCCCATGAGTGTACAATAACGTTGAACTTATAAGGATAATCGTTTATCTTACATACTTTCAACAGAATCATGAGATAAAAATACGAAATACGCGTAAAATGACATAAAAATCAAGCACAGTGACGTATCTCATGCAAATACATAAAATCTCTCTATACTTCACGATAATCGTATATATATATATAAAAAATGATCGTATATTTATTCAACCATGTTTTGACACGATTGTTATCGCGACTTTAAAACCAGACGTATTAAAAACATGACGTATTATTAACAATATAATTTAATGTCTTAAACATAAATTCAGTATCTTATCTAGTAGCTTACGCTATTTAAATAACTAAATATGATTATTTAAAAAAAGAATAAATCAGTGATGATACGTATACTGAAAACCTACGTTAATATTAAGTTCTATTCCATAAATGCTATCGCTCAAACGAGAATTTACTGAATTATTGAGCAATGTTATATAAAATATAGTAGACGAAAATCATAGATTCTAGTCAATAAGTTTGTTTTCAAAGTCGCGAAAGATCCTCGTTTCACGGATTGTGACAATGTTTAAAAAAGAGAAAGAAACGAAATTTATAAACGTCACTGTTCATATTAATTGAACGAAAAGAAACTGAAAATTCACTTAAGAGTACTGAACGCGTATATAGGTAGTCAAGTATGTAAGAGTGACATTTATTCAGGATTGTACGTTCGCTAAACGGGTTGGAGTGGTCGGTTGTAGATCCATTGTACGACATACCCAACCAGCGATGTCTACATTCTCAGACTCGGCTTTCTTTATCCACTCGTGATTCTGTGAACAATTTAAGAAACATATAAGAGTAAAAGTTAATTCATTTAAATGAACAAAGTAGAATACACACCATTAACGTTTTTAAATCTGCTCTTTCGGCGGGATTTTTCTTCAAGCAACGATCCACGAAGTCTGTAAAAGCATCGCTGAAGATACCAGCGGGCAACTTTGGCGGTGGTTCATTCACAATATAATCCAACAATTCAAATATGGCCATTGGTCTTGGGCTGCCTGTGTCTGT